AGATTTGCATATTTATGTACATTTTGCCAATCCCCAGACAGGGGGCCTGGCAAGGTGATCTAATCACCTCATAAATACAAGAGAGACTGGCCAGCAAGGGGAGTCCTATGAAAGATGGAGTGCTGAGGTGAGCTGCTGTGTAGTCTGGGAGGGGACCCGGGAGAGGGGGGAGGGGACCCCGGAGAGGAGGGAGGGGACCCCGGTGAGGGGTGAGGGGACCCAGGAGAGGAGGGAGGGGTCTGCCTCTAGGCAGGAGGATGGAAGAATAGGGAAGGAAGCCGACAGAGGGAGCTCCACTGCCCTGCAGTCCACTGAGAAACTAGCTCAGCAATAGGCTTGGCAGCAGTTTGCCCAAAGCTACAGGACACAAGGACAGTGTGAGCACCTCTACACCTCCGGGGCCTACAGGAGAGAAGGCTGCTAGGGGCCAGGTACCATGACAGGTGCCGTGAATGGCTGGTGGGCAGGGCTGCAACGCGTTTCAGAAGCTCCACCTCCTTTATCTAGCAAAACTGGCTCCTTTCTTCTGTTTCTACCTGTCACGGCACCTGTCATCTTCCCTGCCGGGCGGGAATTTTGAGCCTACATCTTCGAGTTGCCAGCGGCTCCCTGCATGGTTCCACGGCTGTCACCGGTCCATCCACCTGATTGCACCATCATCCCGCTCCTTTTCCGGTCCCTCCACTTTACATGCCTACTGGAGGAATCCCAGATGTAAGTTTTCTGCTTCTCCTTGTTCACTGATCTTACTTCTCCTGACCTGGCGCCCTCCTTTTCTTCTACATATCTTTGAGAGATTCCCCACATCCTTGAGGAGGAGCTGCCGGTCCTTTCCCAGGCGTTTGCCTTCCGGTCCATCCCTTCTTCCACCATCCTGCCCAGGACGCACCTACCAAATCCACTCTGCCACCTCTAAGGTCTCTTAGGATCTCCACCATCCCTGACGAGACTTGCCGGCTTCCATCCAGGTGCTTTGGCTCAGGCCTTCTCCTCACATTGCCCATCCCATGGACCATTCCACCTAGTGACTCCTCTTCATTTATTTCTGTGCCCACTCCTTTTCCCCAGTTCCCTCCCACTGTGCCCGATGTTACCATCCCATTCCACCCGATGTTACCATCCCATTCCACATCATGTGAGTGCTGAATTTGTGTTCATTATTTTAAATGACCATTGTATGTCATACCCAACCAGTTCTCCCTGAGACCGTGCTACAAGTCTGTTCCAGAATCTCTAGCTCTGGGTTACTGCCAGGTGGATGGGCAGTTTCTAGCTGGGGTCGGAAGAGTTTTATATACAGAGGGGACCACAGAGACTGTGTTACTGATCCGTCAAGAGACTGATGCCCCTCGGAGGGAGTAGACAGTCCAGGATCCATCATTTGTATACAAAATTTAGGAAGTTTGTCCTCAGAGTTATTTTTTCCAAGTCAAGTTGGACGTCCCATATACCCCTAGACCCTATCCAAGTTGTCTAACTCTACATAAAACCAACAAAAAAGCCCATGAACTGGTTTCTGACTGGAAAATGCCTGTTGCCTGGCCATGCAGAAAATAGGGGGGCCAAAAAACCAGCGGCTCTCAAGGGGGTAGTGCTACAGAAGATTAGAGTAGGCCCTAAGCTGGGTAGAAATTAATAGAATTTTGAACGAAAATTTGTATGAAAATTCTCAGAACATCCAAATTCAAGATCTTGTTTGCTTTTAACATTTTGGCCTTAGAATGAATGGAACAAAAAAAAAAAAGACGATAGTTGCAAATTTTCGTCACACGATATTTGCACAACTGTTCATTACAAATGCAAATTTTCAGGAAAGAGAGTTTAATAAAAATAAATTTTAGTGCACAATATCCATTTTTTGTGGTAAAATATAAAAGATGAGGTCGCGTCACGTAAATAGATACCAAACATGCCAAATACTAAAAATTGCCTTCGCCCGTGAGATCGCAAAAAAACTTTGGTACCAAAAATTCACCATGAGTGATGCTTTAAAAGCCTTTACAGCTCTTCAGTTTAGAGTCAACTAGGAGCTCTTGTGCTAAAATGATTCCTCTCCATCTGACATTCGCGGTGATACGTCACATGTGCTGCGACCGCGGTTTACATAGGCGTGTGCACCTGAGAGTTACGGCAATTTTTTATTTTTTTTTAATACATTTCATTACAATTTGATGTTTTAAAACGTTTTTATGCATTTTAACTTGATTGCTAAGGGGTTAATACACCCCATGTGATAGCATTGGGCAGGTGACAGGTACTCTTTATGGGGACATCAGGGGTCTAATAGACCCCAATGCCTCCCCTGCCCTTCACACTATCTAACTAAGCACAGATCCCCTTGGTCAGGTGTGTCCCCTGGCTGTACCGGTCAGGTAATGGTGGACTGGAAACCGGAAGAGACAAAATCCTCGTCGCTTTCCTGTTTCTTTGTTTGCAGGTGAGAACGTGGCATGGATTTGCTTTGCTCTCATACCGCTGTCCATCCTCAAGCTGGAGGTTGTGGTCCCGGTAAGAGCGGGATTGGCCCCGGAACAACGGTGGGGAGCCACTGGTAGAGAAGGGGGGGACCAATACACTTCAATACAAAAGGGGTTGGCAGGACCCTGCTTGTTGGAGCTTACAATCTAAGAGGGAGGGGCTAGTGGTACAAAAGGTAGTAACTGTGGGGGATGGACTGGTTGGAAGAGTAGAAGATTCCATTATTGGCTGAGAGCAGGATAGGCTTCCCTGAAGAGATCGGTTTTCAGAGATCGTCTAAAAGTGGGCAGAGTAGGCGATAGTCTGATAGATTGGGTAAAGAGTTCCAGAGGAATGGCGAGGCTCTGGAGAAGTCTTGGAGATGAGCATGGGAGGAGGAGACAAGGGAGCTAGAGAGCAGGAGGTCGTGGGAGGAGCGGAGAGGACGGTTTGGGTGATATTTGGAGACAAGATTGGTGATGTAATTGGGGGCGGAGTTATAAGTAGCTTTTTATGTTATTGTTAATGTTTTGAATTTTATTCGTTGGGCAATGGGAAGCCAGTGGAGGGATTGGCAGAGAGGGGTGGAGGACACTGAGTGGGGGCCAGTGGAGGGATTGGCAGAGAGGCGTGGAGCTCACCGAGTGGAAGCCGGTGGAGGGATTGGCAGAGAGGGGTGGAGCTCACCGAGTGGAAGCCAGTGGAAGGATTGGCAGAGAGGGGTGGAGGACACTGAATGGAGGCCAGTGGAGGGATTGGCAGAGAGGGGTGGCAGATATGGAACGGTTAGTAAGGTGGATGAGTCTGTCAGCAGCATTCTTGATAACCTGCGATGAGGTTGGCCAATGAGGAGGGAGTTACAGTAGTCAAGGCGAGAGATAACGAGTGAATAAGTTGCTTAGTGGTTTCAGAGGTTTAGAACGGGCGTATCTTGGAGGTGTTGCGGAGGTTGGAGATGTCGCGGGGGTTGGAGGTGTCGCGGGGGTTGGAGGTGTCGCGGGGGTTGGAGGTGTCGCGGGGTTGGAGGGTGTCGCGGGGGTGGAGGTGTCGCGGGGGTTGGAGGTGTCGCGGGGGTTGGAGGTGTCGCGGGGGTTGGAGGTGTCGCGGGGGTTGGAGGTGTCGCGGGGGTTGGAGGTGTCGCGGGGGTTGGAGGTGTCGCGGAGGTTGGAGGTGTCGCGGAGGTTGGAGGTGTTGCGGGGGTTGGAGGTGTCGCGGAGGTTGGAGGTGTCGCGGAGGTTGGAGGTGTCGCGGAGGTTGGAGGTGTCGCGGAGGTTGGAGATGTCGCGGAGGTTGGAGATGTTGCGGAGGTTGGAGATGTTGCGGAGGTTGGAGGTGAAGTCTACAAGATTTGGACAGTGATTGGATTTGGGGCTGAAAGGACAGATGGGAGTCTAGGATGACACCGAGTACCTGGCATGAGGGGAGGGACTGATGGCTATACAGCCGCAGCATCACATTCACTTTGAAGCTGGGAGTTGGCTGAAGAGAGCCCACATGGTGGCAGCCTTCTGATTAGCGGTTCACTCTTCACGTACGTAGTACACCCAAGGAACTGACCAGGTTAAACTAAAAGGCCAGACACCCGCATCTTCTCCCCGGGTTCTTCCAGGTTGCTGATTGGCTGGCATGAGAGTGCAGTCATCGCAGGACACTAGCAGTGTGCCAGAATGTAAACGGAGTTCTCTCCCATTTGGTCCCATTGAAAGCATTTTGTGATATCTGATTGATAAGTGCAAAAAGTACCTGCTGACCCCACCACAAACCTTATGATCCAATCCCCCCTCCCCCCCCCCCTCGATGACACAGCACTGACCATGTGGCGTAGAGCTCCCCGCAAACTCCTGGGTCCTGTGATATGGGTACTCCAGGAGTCTGCGGGCATTGCACATATCATTGTGGCCGTGGCCAGAAATTATGAAGGGCAGGTAAGGATTTTTCCGCCATAAAAAAAAAAAAAAAAAAAAAAAAAAATATATATATATATATATTTTTTTTTTTTTTATAGCATCCAATTTTCTTAGAGGAGGGGGCAGGTGGAGATTGATACATAACTCATGGGGAGGGAAACATTCCATTTAGAATTTTTTCTATTAAAACAAAAAGTGTAAATACCCGAATTTTGATCTGATGTCAGTATCTTGCCATCCCCGTTCAGCAGAGCTCGGGGGAGGGGGCTGGCACAAGTGGTTAGAAATCCTGCCTTGCATCAATCCTGTCCACGACACGACCTGCCTGGAGTTTGCATGTTCTCCCTGTGCTTGCGCAGTCAACTCCGGGTTCTCCAAACTCCGAAGACATGCTTCTAGGTGACTTGTCTCCTGTAATGGGCCCCAGTATAGTATCCCTGCTGGTACGATGGGGGCTCTGAAGGATTGAACCGGCTGGAACAGAAACTGGGGCACCGAGAGGCAGTTGGGGCACGGGAGTAATTCCTCCAGGGAAAACCTATTCTGCACTGCGCCTCTATGGGCTAGACCTTTTGGCTAAGTCTGGGGCAGGGGCGGACTGACAACTCATGGGGCCCCCGGGCAATAGGGGATCATGGGGCCCCTGTGTCCTTGCCAAAACTCAAAAAAGCCTATGAAAAAGGTACCAGGGGCATCTCATGGGGCCCCCTACTGACCCCGGGCCCTCGGGCAGTGCCCAAGTTTCCAAATGGTCAGTCCGCCCTGGTGTGGGGGAATTTCTTGCCACTAGGCCTCAGGTCCTAGCCAGCGTACAATTGCACGGCCACTTTTTAATTGTTTCATTTGTTTTTCTCCCCCACATTTTGTAGTTTTTTTACTTTTGTGTGTGCGTTTTTTTTTTTTCACTGGATGGAGGGTGTGGGTCCTTGGGCCTACACTGTAGTCTAGGGGGACAATGTGTGGCCATTAGGTTCCTTCCTCCACTGAACCTGGGGGGGAGTCTCTCTTTGGGAGAGTCCCTCAACCTAGTACTCAGTGGTCGGCTTCGGCTTTTCACATAGAGAGGGGTCCATCAGGCCTTTTGGCTAGGTGGACAAAGTTCATAACCGTGTCCCTGTCAGGAGCCTTGCCCCCCAGGGGTTCAGGGTAAGGTCCTTCCCCTTCGGGAAGTGAGTTAGGAACCCTAGATTGCAAGCAACTTGAAAGCGGGGACTGATGTGAATATACGGTACGTAAAGTTCTGGGTAAGTTGATGGCACTATATAAATACCCGTAATAAATACATTTTTATAATGATTGGACGTCGCACTTACTTGAAGGCGTAGGGCCAGTGCATGAGATAGAGGTCCAGGTAGGAGAGTTGGAGATCAGAGAGGGTCTTCTTCAGAGCTCCCTCTACATCATCCGGGTGATGTTTGTTGTTCCAGAGCTTGGAAGTCACAAAAATCTCTTCTCGTTTTCAATCCCTGCCACAAAACAAAGACGTGTTACACGTGTACAAAAACAGTGACGTGGCGAGCGAGCGTCCAGATACGATTATTGCACCACATCCCTTAAAACTGCAAATATTCAATAGAGAAGATGGGACTTTCAGGGTGCAGAGACAGGAATACCAAACATTAAAAGTTATAGAATTTTTATTTCGTATTTTGGTAAAAAACACAAGAAAGGAAAAAAAATCACCAGTGCACACGGAGTATCTTGGAGGCGGTTTTGGATCTGAATGGAGCTAATATCGTCTGGACTTTTGTCCTTTGCTGGTATCTGGTGGTGGAATTGAAAATTGATCCTCAATTTACAGTGGGGCAAAAAAGTATTTAGTCGCCACCAATTGTGCAAGTTCTCCCACTTACAGAGATGAGAGAGGCCTGTAATTGGCATCATAGGGAGACCTCAACTATGAGAGACAAAATGAGGAAACAAATCCAGACAATCTCATTGGCTGATCTGGAAAGAATTTATTTGCAAATTATGGTGGAAGATAAGTATTTGGTGAATATGAAAAGTTCATGTCAATACTTTGTTATATATCCTTTGTTGGCAATGACAGAGGTCAGACGTTTCCTGGAAGTCTTCACAAGGTTGGCACACACTGTTGCTGGTATGTTGGCCCATCCTCCATGCAGATCTCCTCTAGAGCAGTGATGTTTTGGGGCTGTCGCTGGGCAACACGGACTTTCAACTCCCTCCAAAGGTTTTCTATGGGGTTGAGATCTGGAGACTGGCTAGGCCACTCCAGGACCTTGAAATGCTTCTTACGAAGCCACTCCTTCATTGCCCGGGCGGTATGTTTGGGATCATTGTCATGTTGGAAGACCCAGCCACGTTTCATCTTCAATGCCCTTGCTGATGGAAGGAGGTTTGCACTCAAAATCTTACGATACATGGCCCCATTCATTCTGTCCTGTACATGGATCAGTCGTCCTGGTCCCTTTGTGGAGAAACAGCCCCAAAGCATGATGTTGCCACCCCCATGCTTCACAGTAGGTATGGTGTTCTTTGGATGCAACTCAGCATTCTCTCTCCTCCAAACACGACGAGTTTGTGTTTCTACCAAACAGTTGTATTTTGGTTTCATCTGACCATATGACATTCTCCCAATCCTCTTCTGGATCATCCAAATGCTCTCTAGCAAACTTCAGACGGGCCCCCGGACATGTACTGGCTTAAGCAGGGGGACACGTCTGGCACTGCAGGATCTGAGTCCCTGGCGGCGTAGTGTGTTACTGATGGTAGCCTTTGTTACGTTGGTCCCAGCTCTCTGCAGGTCATTCACTAGGTCCCCCCGTGTGGTCCTGGGATTGTTGCTCACCGTTCTTGTGATCATTTTGACCCCACGGGGGTGAGATCTTGCGTGGAGCCCCAGATCGAGGGAGATTATCAGTGGTCTTGTATGTCTTCCATTTTCTAATTATTGCTCCCACAGTTGATTTGTTCACGCCAAGCTGCTTGCCTATTGCAGATTCAGTCTTCCCAGCCTGGTGCAGGTCTACAATTTTGTTTCTGGTGTCCTTGGACAGCTCTTTGGTCTTTACCATAGTGGAGTTTGGAGTGTGACTGTTTGAGGTTGTGGACAGGTGTCTTTTATACTAATAACAAGTTCAAACAGGTGCCATTGATACAGGTAATGAGTGCAGGACAGAGGAGCCTCTTAAAGAAGAAGGTCCAGGTCTGTGAGAGCCAGAAATCTTGCTTGTTTGTAGGTGACCAAATACTTATTTTCCACCATAATTTGCAAATAAATTCTTTCCAGATCAGCCAATGTGATTGTCTGGATTTGTTTTCTCATTTTGTCTCTCATAGTTGAGGTCTCCCTATGATGCCAATTACAGGCCTCTCTCATCTTTGTAAGTGGGAGAACTTGCACCATTGGTGGTGACTAAATACTTTTTTGCCCCACTGTAAATCCTTTATCCCTACATTTTCCTTTCTACTTGAATTGCAATATTTAACAGATGGATGTTTGATGTCCATTGTTTCCTCTCTTATGGTTGTGGACATATATAGGTCAAATAGATTTTTTGTTAGGTTATACCTATATATCCTTCTAAAGCATTTAACAGGTGATATCTGATGCCCATTATATCCTCTACAACTGTTTTGGACGTGTAGGCCAATTAAGATTTTTTTTAGGTCATTTTCTCCTAGCTCCGTGAGCTTTCACATCCAGGACTGCCTTGGCGGTAGAAATTTCCTCAAAACATCTCCCCTGAACAAGCCCGTGAGGGCGAAACATGTAGGGAGTAACTACATTTACCTAACCAAGTTTGAATCTCAGTTGGTATTTTTAGAATTGAAATTGTTTTTATGTTTCTGTATTTTTTTCCTTGTGTTTTTTACCAAAATACGAAATAAAAATGATATAACTTTTATTGTGTGGTACTCATGTCTATGCACCCTGAAAGTCCCATCTTCTCTATTGGATATGTACAGAAACATGACCCGCTACTATTGAAGGACAGTAGATGTGCACACTTGCTGGGTTCTGTAACATACACTTTATGGCCCAAAGCTGGTTGACTTTGGCACCCAGTGGCTTATTTAGAGCACCGCAAGACTCAAGATCATTGCTGAGTGTCCGTCGTCCGCTCCTCTGAGAAGACCCTGCTTGTTCCTGGGATATACCCAGTTTGCCTTCTGACTACGTCAAATCTCAACTCCATCCCAAATGATGGCGTTCACAAGTTCCCAGTGAAGGGTCCTAGCCATCCTGCAGCATACAAAGACATTATAGACAATTGTTTTCAGCTAACTCTGTGGTAACAGTTTGGTGAAGACTCTTTCTGTTGCACCGTGACTGTACCCTGTGCACAAAGCCAGATCCATAAAGACATGGATGACCAGTTTGGTGTGGAGGAGCTTGAGTGTCCTGAACAGAGCCTTGACCTCAACCCTACTGAACACCTTTGAGATGAACTGGAATGGCGATTCCAAGCCTTCACATCCAACAGCAGTTCCTGACCACACATATAGGTACAAATTCCCACAGACACCTTCCAGGATCTTGTGGAAAGTCTTCCTAGAAGAGTGGAGGATGTTATGGAGGCAACTCTACATTAATGGCCATGGTTTTGGAATGGGATGTGGAAGAAGCTCATATAGCTGTGGACAAACCCTTGGCCATTTTGGGTACATTCGTTTCCCCCCATAACGGACTTTGCAAATAGGTAGATATTTCCACAGACACCCTTCGAATGTGGAAAGCCTTCCCAGTAGATTAAAAGGATGTCGTAGCCATAAAACGGGGCTAATCCATAATAAAGGTCATGGAAGGTGGGGGAGGGGTTTCAGGTAACTTAATATTAATGATCAGGGTTGTGAAGTGGGATGTCCAACAAGCTCATTTAGATATGATGGTCAGATGTCCACAAGCATTGACCTTTTCGGCTATAGAACCACGGTCCACGCATGCCAATTATGACTGTGGGACTGTTATGTGGACATCAATAATGTTACCTTGTCACCGAGACTTTCCTTGATGGCTTCTCCAACTTCAGCTTCATTTCCGTACACGGAGGCGCAGTCTATGTGCCGATAACCGACACTCAGGGCGTACTTCACTGCGTCCCTCACCTGTCATAAGAAAAGGAGGCCAATTAACAAAACGTATGGATTGTATGGATAACGCTGACTGATGCTACCAAGAAAGTCATCGATAAATTTGAACAAGGTTGGGACAAACACAAATCTATATTTTAAAACAGAGGTCTCTAAACTGCGGCTCATTGCCTGCTTTTATTCAGCCCTCGAGGCATTACTCCCCCCACTGTCATTAACAGTGGAAAATAATTCCTACCACTGACACCGACAATGAAGCATTAGTCATCCCACTGACACAAACGATGGGCACTATTCCTCCCATTGATAGGGCACCATTCCTCCCACTGACACCAATGACGGGGCACTATTCCTCCCACTGACACCAATGACGGGGGCACCGTTCCTCCCACTGACACCAATGACGGGGCACCGTTCCTCCCACTGACACCAATGACGGGGCACCGTTCCTCCCACTGACACCAATGACGGGGCACTATTCCTCCCACTGACACCAATGATGGGGCGCTATTCCTCCCACTGACACCAATGATGGGGCACTATTCCTCCCACTGACACCAATGATGGGGCACAATTCCTCCCACTGACATCAATGATGGGGCACTATTCCTCTCACTGTCACCAATGATGGGGCACTATTCCTCCTACTGACACCAATGATGGGGCACTATTCCTCCTACTGACACCAATGATGTGGGACTATTCTTTCCACTGACACCAATGATGGGGCACTATTCCTCCCACTGACACCAATGATGGGGCACTATTCCTCCCACTGACACCAATGATGGGGCACTATTCCTCCCACTGACACCAATGATGGGGCACTATTCCTCCCACTGACACCAATGATGGGCCACTATTCCTCCCACTGACACCAATGATGGGGCACTATTCCTCCCACTTACACCAATGATGGGGCACTATTCCTCCCACTGATACCAATGATGGGGCACTATTCCTCCCACTGACACCAATAATGGGGGCACTATTCCTCTCACTGACACCAATGATGGGGCACTATTCCTCCCACTGACACCAATGATGGGGCACTATTCCTCCCACTGACACCAATGATGGGGCACTATTCCTCCCACTGACACCAATGATGGGGCACTATTCCTCCCACTGACACCAATGATGGGGCACTATTCCTCCCACTGACACCAATGATGGGGCACTGTTCCTCCCACTGATACCAATGATGGGGCACTATTCCTCTCACTGACACCAATGATGGGGCACTATTCCTCTCACTGACACCAATGATGGGACACTATTCCTCCCACTGACACCAATGATGGGGCACTATTCCTCCCACTGACACCAATGATGGGGCACTATTCCTTCCACTAACACTAATAAAGGGGGAACTGTTTACTCCCACTGACGTCAGGACATTTTCGATGCCCACTGACAGCAGTCCGATCCCCCTAAAGTTTGAAGAAGAGTAAACTGGCCCTCTGTTTGGATAGCTTGGAGACCCCTGCTCCAGCAGAAAGTTTAACCTGTTCCCACTGGCCGTACATACTGTATACTGTATTTGTGGCAGGCAGGGTGGGAGCGCCTTAACAACTAGCCACTGCACACATGCATCCATACTGAACTGCCATTCTGAGAGCATACTCACTGTGGCGCCCAGCCCTGTGACTGAGCTGTCATGGATAGCTCCTGGTCTTTGTTTAGGATTGGAAGCTTGTGACAGCCAATCACAGTTGTCGCATGATTAGGAGGTCTTTGTCTCCCCTGACTTAAGACACTCTTAAAGGGCAGCCCAGAGGAAAGGGGTCAAAAAGCAAGAAATTTGAATAAGGGGCAGACTCAATCAACCACTTGGTCTTTTTCTGCTGCCCTGTTTTTATTTTAGGTTTCATTATACGGGATCCGATCCTCTAACCTGCATACTTAGAACTATTCCTGGCGCTCTTTCATCTATTCGGAGTGAGAAGTAGAGGGGCCCTCCATCTATTATCTTCCCTGACATAACGCTCCTCTGTTGCGGACAGCTGCAGGCCCCATAATAACATCCATCAAATGAGGAAAGATCTATTCACAGATGAAAGGGAACCACACAAAGTATTTCCATCAATCATCATCTCAGAAGTGGAAATGACCCCCAAGCATTAAATATTAAGGACGTCCAGATAACGAGGCGGCAACAGAATGATATCGGAGATGTTATAAATATTGTAAAACAAGAAGATTCCTTTTTATCGGAGAAGGTCTCCTCCCAGTGCAGATCATAGGGTGGACGTTCAACACAATAGAGGCCCCAATGGTTGTCCTTCGTAATTAATTGGAAATCCATTCTATGTGGGGTTTTGTTTGATGCTCCCTAACTATCCTCTCCCTGAATTAACACAGGAAACAATTCTACATAATCAGATTTCCTTTCTAAAATGAAACGTTGTCTTTTGATCCAAGTGGTTATTGTTTCTCTGAAAGCAGGCTCGGTCTAGCCATTCTTTATTGAGAACGTTGGGAGTATTCTCAATAACTCCAATAGTTGACGGTTCCAATCCACCACCTGCGTGATGCATTAACACAATATTATGGGATAGCCGCTGATCAATTGACCCCAGGAGTCCAATGTTGAGGAATGGCCTTATAAGGTATACTTTGCATTAAAAAATGGCCACTTTTGGTCTGAGGTCCAGATGTAATGGGTAGACCCCCATTGAGCTGACCTTCTGAGCCTAAGGAGTTTGGGAGAGCTGGGCAGATTAGATCACTCCATCACCACTCCATTCCAACAGTTGCCATGTCTAGCCATTCTCCATCATGTTTTTATTGCTGGGAGTATTCTCCACAACACCTCCAGCTCATGGTTCCAATTCACCAACTGCGTGATGCATTAACGCAATATTAAGGGATAGCCACTGTTTAATTGAACCCAGGAGTCCAATGTTAAGGAATGGCCTCAGCCGCTGTACTGGCCATGCCTTAACATTGGACCCCTGGGGTCAATTGAGCAGTGTCCATCTCTTTACTTGTATTGGCTGACACTGGAATCGCTCAGACCCATGCTCCCGTCTTCTCACTTGCCGGTGGGGTGATCCGTTTCCTTCCTTCCACAAAGCTTGGAGTGGCACAATAAGGTATACTTTGCATTAAAACAATGGCCACTTTTGGTCTGAGGTCCAGATGTAATGGGTAGACCCTATAGAGCTGACCTTCTGAGCCTAAGGAGTTTTGGATAGTTGGGCAGATTAGATCACTCCATCACCACTCCATTCCAACAGTTACCATGTCTGGCCATTCTCCGTCATGTTTTATTTAGAATGTTGGGAGTATTCTCCACAACACCTCCAGCTCATGGTTCCAATCCATCAAGTGGGTGATGCTTTTAAAACAATGGCTGTTTTTGCTCTGAAGTCCTGATGTAAACGGTAGTTCCTATAGAGGCAACCTTCTAAGCCTAAGGAGTCTGGAAGGACCGGGCAAAGAAAGCTACTCCATCACCACGCCAATTAAATATCTGGCTGTTCTTCAGGTTTTATGGAGAATATTGAGAGTATTCTCCACTACACCTCCAGTACAGGGTCCCAATCCACTAACTGAGTGATACATTTAAAACAATAGCTGCTTTTGGTCTCAGGTTTATAAGTAAAGTGTAGACCCTACAGAGGTGACCTTCTGAACCTAAGGAGTTTGAGAAGGCTGAGCAGAGAAAGTCACTCCATCATCACCTCACTTCAAAAACAGTCGCTATGTTGGGCCATTCTCCATCATGTTTTATTGAGAATGTTGGGAGTATTCTTCACAACACCTTCAGCTGATGGTTCCAATCCATCAAATGGGTGATGCTTTTAAAAAAAAAATGGTTGCTTTTGGTCTAAAGTCCTGATGTAAGGGGTAGATCCCATAGAGGTGACCTCCTGAGCCTAAGCAATCTGGGACGGCTGGGAAGAGAAAGCTACTCCATCACCACTCCAATAACAGTCTCCATGTCTGGCTATTCATCAGGTTTTATTCAGAACGTTGAGAGTATTTTCTTCAACACATCCAGTTGCCGGTGCCAATCCACCAACTGGGTGATGCTTTTAAAGCAATAGCCGCTTTTGGTCTGAGGTCCAGATGTAAAGGGTAGAGCCTATAGAGGCCATTTTCTGAGCCTAAAGAATTTGAGACGGCTGGACAGGGAAAGCCACTCCATCATCACCACTCCGCTAAGGCTGTATTCACACTTCAGCAATTTGTAGCTTGAAGCTCGAACCTCCAAAAATGCTCAAAATTAAAAAGTCATTTGTATTGTATGATGCCTGTTAACACCTGATTGCACGAACAGGCACCATAGAGAACAATTGATTTTTTAAGTTTGAGCATTTTTGGAGCTTCAGGCTTCAAGCTACAAAATCGCTCAAGTGTGAATGCAGCCAAACAGTCACCATGTCTGGCCATTCTCCATCACGTTTTATTGAGATTGTTGGGAGTATTCTCCACAAATCCTCCAGCTGATAGTCCCAATCCATCAACTTGGTGATGCTTTTAAAACAATAAGTGCCTTTAGTCTGAAGTCCTGATGTTAGGGGTAGACCCTGTGGAGGCGACCTTCTGAGCCTAAGGAGTTTGGAAGGCCTTGACAAAGAAAGCTGCTCCATCACAACTCTAGTAATATGTCTGGCTATTCTTGTTCAGGTTTTATTGAAAACATTGACAGTATTCTCCACTACACCTTCAGTCAACAGTCCCAATCCATCAGCTGGGTGATGCTTTTAAAGCAATGGCTGCTTTTGGTCTGAGGCTCAGATGTAAAGGGTAGACCCTACAGAGGTGACCTTTTGAATCTAAGGAGTTTGAGAGGGTTGGGTAGCGAAAGTCACTCCATCATCACCTCACTTCAAAAACAGACGCCATGTTGGGCCATTCTCCATCATGTTTTATAGAGAATGTTAGGTGCAATTTCCACAACACCTTCAGTCGACAGTCCCAATCCACCAACTGGGTGATGCTTTTAAAGCAATGGCTGCTTTTGGTCTGAGGCTCAGATGTAAAGGGTAGACCCTACAGAGGTGACCTTTTGAATCTAAGGAGTTTGAGAGGGCTGGGTAGCGAAAGTCACTCCATCATCACCTCACTTCAAAAACAGACGCCATGTTGGGCCATTCTCCATCATGTTTTATAGAGAATGTTAGGCGTATTCTCCACAACACCTCCAGCTGATGGTTCCAATCTGCCAACTGGGAGATGTTTTAAAACAATAGCTGCTTTGGTTTGCTGTCCTGATGTAAATGGTAGAGGCAATCTTCTGAGCCTAAGGAGTTTGGGATGGCTAGGTAGAGAAAGTCATTCCATCACCACTCCACCCTCAAGCTTCTCTCTTGTCACACAAATGCTGGCAGTTGTAGGTCTGGTAACCATTTTAGGTCATTGACTTGTCATGGTGATCTGCTCAATTGATCAGCGTTGAATGTTTTAACATGGTACAAAGGGTCTTGGAAGGCAATTTTAATAGTTTATGTAGACAGAGGTTCTCCTTTTACGTGAGAGGTTTCTTAGAGACAGAAGATCATTGAAAATCTTACCTGGCCAGGTGCACTTTTCCACGTACCAAGTCCAAGAAGGGGAATCTTCTGACCAGTGTACAAAGTCTCACACTCAGCAGCAGTCGCCATGTTTGCCTTAAGGTGGATCTGTCATGCAAGAATGAAAAAATGGTCACGAAAATAAGCACAAATTTATAATAATTCAGAAGAACGCTTTGGGAGAGCATCCCTTCAAAGCCATACTTTTGCCACTGAAGCGGAACATTCTTTTTTTTTTTTTGCTTTTGTGTCCAGAAAGGAAACTCAGATAGGAAAGGGGGAATACTTTTGCTCATCCATTTCCTCCAAGCAGGAAAACAACCAGAAAGCTGCCTGTCAGGTAAACATTACATTGACTGCTCATCCCCCACAATGGCCCTCAGCCAGACCTCACTTTCTGATTGGGGGACATGAACATCAAGGCAACGTGTTATCAGCCGGACATGTTCCTGTACAATCTCAGAGTGAACCAATTGTCCTCACTTTGAGCAAACGTCAAATAATAGCAATATCACACAAGTTAGAAATTTATCGCTCACAAAACTCACAAATATTTATGGCCTATCCCCTTATCTCTTAGGTGATGAAAAAAATCAAAGCAAAAATCCTTGTAATAGGTACTATAGGTATTCACCCCCCTCATGACCCATGTGTCTAACCTTACACTTGTTCTAGCAATGCAGCCCTCATCAATCTGCTCAGCATTTGACACTTCCAGGAGTGTCGGATCCCTGTGTCCCCTGTGCACGCGACGTGGTTTCATCCTCCCACCACTACATTACTCCAGGACTCATCACTGATGTAGAGGCGAGAGGATAGAACTACAGCATGTGGTGGGGGCAGGGCTGTTGATTGGAAGGTGGTGCAGTTAAGGCTCCTGTACTGTGGACCCATGCCCCATTGCTTTAGCAGGTGGGACTGGACTCAGCAGAGTTGCATGTGGGCCCAGGCCTGGCAGGGATCATAAGATCACAGCAAGGAACCTATAGTGGGCCATGGGCTTGGGCAGGATGGGGTCACTCTGATGGACATGAAGCCGAAGGGAAGTAACTGTGATGGAGCCTGTGTCAAGTACAAGGTGGTGATTGGGAAGGTGGTGGTGGGGGGGTTCCAGGCTGATAAGAGGTAAAGGATGAACATGTACATAGATTTAAGCCCGACATGCCATGCAAAGCACTTTTCCAGAGCCGGATCTGACTGTACTTTGCTTGTCTGATGAAGGAATCCCTCTAATTACAGAATCCTTCGTAAGTTGCCAACATCTATTGGATATCTACAAATGTATTCTCCAGAGATATGAGAAGCTGAAGTTCTGTACAAATCTTGACTTCTCCTGTTAGTCAAGCATTGTCCCTGTAAGGGATTTCCGGTGAGACGAATTGTGAATAGAAATGCGCATAGAAACGTCCGGAGAAGAGTGATCGGTTGTGCGCATGCACGGCGAAGATTGGCGCCAGACTGACTATGTAAAGGGTGTCTCTGCCCATGTTGAGTGCTGACTGGTCTTCAGCTCCCCCCGTGTCCTGCTTGTTCCTGTGTGATTTCCTTGTTGCTGACCGGACTCTGATTACTCTCCTGATTGATACTGGTTCCTGACTTCGGCTCTGCTCCTGATTTCGGCTCTGCTCCTGATTTCGGCTCTGCTCCTGATTTCGGCTCTGCTCCTGATTTCGGCTCTGCTCTTGACTTTGTACCTTGCTGCCCGCCTGTTGATGACCCCGGCTATTCCTAGGACACTGCTCCTGTCTCTCTCCCTCGCTTCCTGCCTTGCTCTGGTGCACGCCTGGCGATCTACCATACCAGCTCTGCTTGTTACCACTGTGCCTGAATTGGAGGTTCATCAGTCTTCCAGAGTCATCATCTGCAAGAGCTGCAAACAACATCTACTGGCGCCCCCTGGTCCCTAGACTCCCTCTGTTCCAACTCCAGTGGGGTCAGGACTAGTGACACAAGTGAGGCCGACCTCGTCATTTCAGTCTCCCATCAGGTACATGACAGCCCCGCCTCTTGCGTCTCCCTACTGGTCAGTGAGGTTGACCAACACATTAAAAAAACCAATAGGGAGGCAGAAGTACATCCACCTTTGTCTGAACTCATACAAACATTCTGATGACTGGAAGAGGAATACTGCCAAGGGGAAGCAATCTGAGGGGGCGGTATGTAATGGGTCACTTGGTTCAGGACAGCTTGTGGTTTGTTGGGCACCTGGAAGGCATAGGAATGCATGTTGTTTGGCCAGTTTTGCAGTCCATGTGTGCCAGGCATAACATGGCCTCTGAATGGAATGTGCCAATCTCATCTGCTGGCATTGGAGTAGAGAAATGAAGAACTCACTATGACAGAGCGGAAAATGACTCGGCACGCGGATCCTAATGTTCCGGCTTGTAATAGAAGAAGACATGAAAGGTTGGCAGGCGTTGTATAGAGTGCGGTTGGGTAGTGTATACATACATACAAGTAGAGTCTTGCCAGGATAGTTGTGGGCACAGAAGAAGGGCGTGCCATTTATTGGGGAGTGTTGGGTTATTCAAGGTAATTCTCTCTCTATGGACTATAGAGAAGATGTAAACCCTCATGAACTTGCCTTTTATAAAGAATGAGATCCAGTTTTCTCTGGGGTGCTGGGATCACAGAAATACAGTAGAGTCTCTGGGAGCACCGGGGTGCTGGGATCACAGGAGAGTTTCTGGGGGCACCGGGGTGATGGGATCACAGGAGAGTCTCTGGGGGGACCGGGGTGATGGGGTCACAGGAGAGTCTCTGGGGACCGGGGTGATGGGGTCACAGGAGAGTCTCTGGGGGCACCGGGGTGCTGGGGTCACAGGAGAGTCTCTGGGGGCACCGGGGTGCTGGGGTCACAGGAGAGTCTCTGGGGGCACCGGGGTGATGGGGTCACAGGAGAGTTTCTGGGAGCACCGGGGTGATGGGGTCACAGGAGAGTTTCTGGGAGCACCGGGGTGATGGGGTCACAGGAGAGTTTCTGGGAGCACCGGGGTGATGGGGTCACAGGAGAGTTTCTGGGAGCACCGGGGTGATGGGGTCACAGGAGAGTTTCTGGGAGCACCGGGGTGATGGGGTCACAGGAGAGTTTCTGGGAGCACCGGGGTGATGGGGTCACAGGAGAGTTTCTGGGGAGCACGGGTGAGGGGTGATGGGGTCACAGGAGAGTTTCTGGGAGCACCGGGGTGATGGGGTCACAGGAGAGTTTCTGGGAGCACCGGGGTGATGGGGTCACAGGAGAGTTTCTGGGAGCACCGGGGTGATGGGGGTCACAGGAGAGTTTCTGGGGTCACCGGGGTGATGGGGTCACAGGAGAGTTTCTGGGAGCACCGGGGTGATGGGGTCACAGGAGAGTTTCTGGGGACCACCGGGGTGATGGGGTCACAGGAGAGTTTCTGGGGACACCGGGGTGATGGGGTCACAGGAGAGTTTCTGGGAGCACCGTGGTGATGGGGTCACAGGAGAGTTTCTGGGATCACCGGGGTGATGGGGTCACAGGAGAGTTTCTGGGAGCACCGGGGTGATGGGGTCACAGGAGAGTTTCTGGGAGCACCGGGGTGATGGGGTCACAGGAGAGTTTCTGGGAGCACCGGGGTGATGGGGTCACAGGAGAGTTTCTGGGAGCACCGGGGTGATGGGGTCACAGGAGAGAGTTTCTGGGAGCACCGGGGTGATGGGGTCACAGGAGAGTTTCTGGGAGCACCGGGGTGATGGGGTCACAGGAGAGTTTCTGGGAGCACCGGGGTGATGGGGTCACAGGAGAGTTTCTGGGAGCACCGGGGTGATGGGGTCACAGGAGAGTTTCTGGGAGCACCGGGGTGATGGGGTCACAGGAGAGTTTCTGGGAGCATGGGGTGCTGGGGTCACAGGAGAGTCTCTGGGGACACTGGGGTGCTGGGGTCACAGGAGAGTTTCTGGGAGCATGGGGTGCTGGGGTCACAGGAGAGTTTCTGGGAGCACCGGGGTGATGGGGTCACAGGAGAGTTTCTGGGAGCACCGAGGTGCTGGGGTCACAGGAGAGTTTCTGGGAGCACCGAGGTGATGGGGTCACAGGAGAGTTTCTGGGAGCACCGAGGTGCTGGGGTCACAGGAGAGTTTCTGGGAGCACCGGGGTGATGGGGTCACAGGAGAGTTTCTGGGAGCACCAGGGTGATGGGGTCACGGGAGAGTTTCTGGGGGGGGCACTGGGATCACAAAAAAAAAAAAGAAAAAAAAAAAAAAAACAAAACACACACACAAAAAAGGCAAAAAATGATGGACCACTCGGTCTTTTTCTGCCGTCACTTTTCTATGTTTCTAAGAGTGAAATAAAGGGTGCCAAAAGCAACATTAGAAGTAAAAAATAAAGTAAAATGCGTACTTCAGACTGCCTGTCCTGGAAGTGATGGAGATGTCCCTGCGCCTTACCACGGCCTCCCAGGTACTGAAGACCCTGCAAGAGAGCACTCTTGATTTTCATGCAAGGCCCCCTTTAAAAAGAGCAGAGAACTTGGGAACAGCGGACACACAAGGGATGGAGTCATCAAACACTTTGCACCATCAACAGGCGCTTCAGAGCTGCATCCAAGACCAGTGTTTGCTGACCAAACAAGAAATATCACTTCTCCAAAATATAGCACGGCTCCACTGTAAAATGTATTTATTTCAGGTACTTATATAGCACCATCAATATACGCCGCGCTTTACATATAGATTGTACATTCACATCAGTCCCCGCCCCCGAGGAGCGTACAATCTAAGGTCCCTAACTCCCATCATACATACACATACTAGGGACAATTTAGACAGGAGCCAATTAACCTACAAGCATGTCTTTAGAGTGTGGGAGGAAACCAGAATACCTGGAGGAAACCCACGCAGGCACAGGGAGAACATGCAAACTCCGGGCAGGTGGTGCTGTGGTTGGGATTTGAACCGGCGACCCGACTACTGCCAGGCGGAAGTGCTAACCACTTAGCCACTGTGCTATGTAGTTTCCTGACTGTTCAGGATCCTGATGTTTGGGTCATGTGATACCAATATGCAAAATATCCAGAATATATATTTTTATATATACACACCCATACCATATACACACAGTGTATTTGCAT